GCGCGAATGGTAACTAGCAAAATTATCAAGCCTCACATTGCGGAGAGTCTCTACACAACGGGAGTGGACTACGGTGTAGGGCACGGGGTTGTGCAAGTGATCGCAGCGCTCTAGTAGCGCTCTTACTTCTTGCTTGTGTTCATGGAGAAGTTTTGCAAGAGTTTCCACTAAGGAAGTTGAAATAACATTGAACATTGAAATGATTGTAGTACAATTGATGCATGCATAAGGATATGACTAGAATGGCATGCAACACCTAGCAAGGGCAAAATCTGCCAGCGCAGCAGAATGGCTTGCCAACGCTCCAGCAGAGTAGTCTGCCAGCGTTGCACTGCGCGCGGTCTGCCAGCACTGCAGTCGCAGGTTGTCTATCTTCGCAGATGTGTGCACCTACCAAGTAGTTGCAGGTTGACGGCTTCACCGCCAGGCACATTGCGCAGGTGCCACGTAAGAAACGTGTCGTCGGTTTTGCCAGGTGCACACCGTCAACCACGTGTTGCCATTCCGTAGGTCAAACTAAGCCAAAACTCCCTGGGCGAAGTTTCGCACACCTCCGCAGAGTTTCGCACACCTCTGCGAATTTGGACGAATAGCTTGACGTTGCTCGGTCAAAGAGCGTTCGACGATCAAAGCTTGTCGACCAGAGCTCGTCGCGCAGAGTTCGTCGAACGGAGCTCTTCGACCAGAGCTCCCCGACGGGATCTTCAACCATCGCTCCTCGACGGGCCTCTTCGACCTCTGTCTTCGACCATCGCTGCCCGTCGACGATGTCGACCAGATTCCGTCGAGAAGAGCCTGCTCGACCGCTACTTCCGTCAAACTGCAGAAGCCTGCTTCATCGACTAATCTGTTGAAAACTTCCCGTCGACGGCGAGATCGGCTGCGCCAAATCGAGGGCGGGGCCTTTCTCTTCGACACACATGACCCGAGTTTTAGGGTTTTCGCTCGCGCGAGATTATGATGACGATCCTGATGCATCACGTTTTGCCCTCCGCACACATTTTCAGAAACAAATGCAAAACCCTTTCGAATTACATTCGATCTTGAAAGCATCAGCCGTAAACACATTGCCACAAAGTTTTAAGGGTTTGTTTTTAGGAACACGCATGTCATCCGATAGAGAATTATTTTCACGCTTATAGAATTAGGCCACGCTGGAATCTGTAAGGGCCCTAAACTTTCGGGTTTGTAGAAATGAGCAAAAAAACGATTCTCAGAAGGAAGGAACCGCGGGGATTATTCACGGATTTTAAAAGGAGCAGCGCATCTTTAAATACTTAAAAACTATGATCATTTTGGGCGAAATTTTTTCTAGTTATCATTCGTGTGATTATCCGCCAGTTTCGGATCACCAAACACGTAAAGCGGTTACCAAAGCGTGAAAATATACTGTAATAGTTACTGTACATGTTATAGTGCCCTTGTTACATATGCAATGGGTCAAGGTAGCGAGGATTGCACTAAGGTGACAAACGAGTACAAAATATGAGCGAAGGCATGAGCGAATACTTATACGCGAAAATGCAAACGGTAACGCGGTGCGTGCAAGCTAGCTAGTGTTACGCTGACAACGAGGCTCGGGCTAGTCTTGAAACGTAGGCCGACACGGCCGGGCCAGCGGTGCAAGGTTTGGTGAAACAGTGTGCGAGAAGTTGGCGAAGCCCCGTTAGCAGTAACGGGCAAACAATGGCTGCTGGTGTATGCGATGTTGCAGGTCACGGTAAGGAATGTCGAGAAAATTCCTTACACTCCCCCCCTCCCTCAAGAAGCCCCCTCCGCTGTGAAAATAAGAACGAGGAATGAGTGCATTAAGCAGGATGAGGAGTACAAGTAGGAAACCCTAAAGTGTTGTACCCCATATGAACTACCCCACTACAGCCTACACAGACTATAGCATATGAGTTTGACACAACCCCATAGGCAAAGTGGGGGAGAACAAGAGGTCACAAGACCAGTCAAGAGAAGCAAAGCAAGCTCAGGGTGGATCACGAAGTCACCACGCATTCTGAGCACAAGCAAATGGCCACAAGGCCAGTTCACATGCAGAGTTATATAGAGACAAACAAGCACTACAGTGATCACAACCTAGTAAGTGCAAGCATGCAGGTATCTGTATAAAGATCACAGTACAAGTAAAGTCAAGACCTAGAACAGTACAGAAACGCTGATGATCACAAGGCTGAAGTGCCTTGGTGAAGATATCAGCAGTGTTGGCCCGAGTGGCCACGTACGCAAGACGAAGCTGACCACGCTGCTGCAACTCTCGAGCAAGGAAGTAGCGGAGAGCGATGTGCTTCGTTCTGTGCTCCAGTCTGTGCTCCTGACACAAGACAATCATGGCCTTGTTGTCGACGTACAGCAGTGGAGGAGAACGAGGCGGCTCTCCCAGGTCGGTCAGTAGGTAGGTGAGCCAGCGTAACTCCCGTGCAGCCATGGCCCCTGCGTAGATCTCAGCCTCGCAGCTGGAGCTGAGAACAGAAGACGAGCGGGTAGACCGCCACGAAACAGAACCGGAGCCAAGGCTGAAAGTGTAACCCTGTGACGACCGCTGCGTAGCCAAGTCGTCAGCCCAAAAAGCGTCTGCGTGACCAGTGAGGACAACTCGAGACCGTCCTCCAAGCACGAGCCCCATGCTCGACGTACTGCACAAGTAGCGCAACACCCTCGTAGCGGCATCCATGTGCTCCTTCCGGTGTCTCCCAGGAGCAACATAGCATGCCAGGATGCTAAGAGGGTATGCCAGGTCAGGTCGAGTGCAGGTCATCAGGTACATGAGGCAGCCCACAAGCTCTGGATATGGGCCACTCGGCTCTACGGACTCATCCGAAGGCAGAGCTGAGAGCGAGTGGCGAGTAGGCATAGGAGTGGGCTGTGGCGAGAAGTACGTGAAGCCGAAGCGCTGAAGGACCTGCTGCACCATGTGTAACTGAGTCAAAGTAATGGTGCGCTGTGCTCTGTCCCGGGTGATCTGCAAGCCAAGGTAGCTGCGCAGCTCACCCAGGTCCGTGCACGTGTGCCTCTTCTGCAGCTCGGACTTCACGTGGGCGAGTCCCTCAGTGTCAGAAGTAGCAAAGACCAAGTCGTCGACGTACACGAGGATGTATAACGGCGGCAGAGTAGTGTCGGTGCGTAGAAACAGCGACGGGTCAGCAGTGGAAGGAGCAAACCCAAGAGCCGCAAGCGTAGTCTTCAGTGTCGTGCCACTCACGAGGCGCCTGGCGGAGACCGTCGACTGGCCGCCGGAGGCTCCACTGGGTACCAGGAGGAAACGACCCAGTGAAGCCAGGTGGGCGGTGCAGCCAGATCTCCTCGTGCAGGCTGCCCTGTAGGAAGGCTGTGCTGAAGTCCAGAGAGTGAAGCTCGTAGTCACGCTGAGCGGTGACGTGCAGTAGCACCTGAAAAATGGTCATCTTCAGGGTCGGAGAGAAGGTCTGAAAGTAGTCAACTCCCTGTCGCTGACTGAAGCCTCGAGCAACGTAACGCGCCTTGAAGACAGGCGGAGAACCTGGCGGCCGCTTCACCCTGAAAATCCACATGACATCGACGATGTTCGCCCCAGGCGGGGGAACCTCGTCGACGTAGGCGCCTATGGACTTCCAGGAAGCCATCTCTGCGTCCATGGCTGTCTGCCACTGAGAGGAGTAGGGACCCTCTATCGCCTCTGCGTAAGAGCGCGGGGTCGGGATGTCTGGTGCATCCGGGTCTCCCTCAGGTGCAAGCAGCATGGACACGAGATGAGGTAAAGCGGCGGCGAAACACTGAAACTCCTCCTGCCTGTCCTCAAGGACGTCCGTGCCAAGAGCAAACTCACCCCCGACGGACGGAGGACAGACAGACTCAGACTCAGCAACAAGACTAGCGGCGTAGTCTAGACGACAAGCAGCAGCAAAGTCAACAAGCTCAGCAACTAGGGCAGACGCAGCAGTGGACTCAAACGAAGGGTCAGTGAAAACAGTGGCCAGGAGACGCGTGACAGTCGGACTAGCAGCACGAAGGGAGTCAGACTCCGGGTCCGGACTGTCAGCAAGGGAGGACGCAGGAGGAGACGGGAGAGGGACACGCAGTGGAGCAGTGGACGGACGAAGTGCCATCCGGTGCGTGCCTGGGACAGGAGGAGGACGCGGACGCGGAACACGACGACCAGTGCGAACAGCGCGAACAGGCGACGCGGGACGAGACTCAGGCGACCCAGGACGAGACTCAGGCTCACGACGCTCCGTAAGACCTCCGGTCGGCCCAGAGTAAGGAGAAGGACAGGGCAGTGGGGAGGCTGGCTGTAACTGCGACTGCGACTGGATAGGCGGTGGACACTCTAAGGGAGGAGTAGAACCAGTAGAAGGCAGGAGACCAAGAACCTAATGAAGGAGTGGAACGAAGTACGGCCGCGGCCGCGCAGCGCCTCCAGAACCAGCAGAGACAGTACCAGTACCCCCAGCTCCAAGGTCTGCAGCTCCAACACCCGCAGCACCACCAGCTCCAGCACCTCCAGCAGCTCCAGCTCCAGTAGCACCTTCAGAAGCAACAACACTAGCGCCTCCAGCTCCAACTCCGGGAGCACCACCAGTCTCAGCAGCTCCAGTACCTCCAGTACGAGCACCTCCGGGACCAGCGGCTCCAGCACCTCCAGCAGCACTAGCACCAGCAGTACCTCCAGCAGCTCCAGCTCCGGCAGCACCTCCAGGTCCAGCAGCTCCAGCTCCTCCAGCAGCTCCAGCACCAGCAGGACCTCCAGCAGCTCCAGCTCCAGCAGCACCTCGCTGGAGTCTCCAGCGGTGAGCAAACCACTCGCGCAGCTGCGGTGGAGAGAGAGGCTCCCGCCGAGACGAGGCACCTGCAGGAATTCCAGCAGACTCCGCACCCCCAGTCTCAGCACCCGCAGACTCAGCAACCCCAGGCTCAGCACCCCCAGACACCACACGCTCAGGCTCAGCACCCCCAGGCTCTGCACCCCCAGGCTCCGCACCCCCAGGCTCCGCACCCTCTCTGCACCCGAACTGTGCCTATACACACTCTGATCCATGTGATAATAAGAGGGACCCCATCTGCCCATACCACCGCTCTCCACTCCTCCCTCCTTCCTCTCCTCTCCTCTCTCCTCTCTTCTCTCTTTTCGAGTCAATCCACGTTTCCCATCCCCTTCCCTCTCACCTTCCCCTCCCCCAATCTCCGACTTTATCCTCTCTCCCCCTTCAACCCCATGTCCCACACCCTGCCCACCACTTCTCATCGCCTGAAACTCCGCCTGCAATCGCTGCTCAAAAGCAGCCATAAAAGCACTCTTCCCATCACCCTGCACCTTCACCAGAGCAGCCCCTGCAGTTTTCCCTCCACCCATCCCCACACCACCGTTAGCTAGGCCATCGCCACTAGCCGTTTTAGTACCCATATCCGTGCTCCCGCTTGTCCCCACACCCCAGTCCAGATAGCTGCCCTTGTACACTCCCAACTTTCTCGCTCTCGCATCCGACCCTTTTCGAGCACTTAACGAAGTGCCAGTTGTTTTTACCTCAAAACGCTTCTCCACCCCCATCTCCTCTCTTTTCTCCCCTCCCACTTCCTCTTTTCTCTTCCCTCCCTCCGCCCTGTTCTCCCCTCCCTCCTCTTCCCTCTTCTCCCCTCCCACCTCCCTAGTTCCAACTGCACCTGCCTTTCGCTCCTCACCATCCTCTTTCTCTTCCTCCTCTCCCTCTGCTTCCTCCTCTTTCCTCTCCTTCTCCTCCCCCATGTCTTCTCCAACCTTTCCTAAAGGACTTTCCCTTTGCTCCTCATCCTCCTCTTCCCGTCTCTCCCCAATACCTCCTAACAGCCTGCCTCTTACGTCCTCCTCCCTCACTCCTGCCCCATCGCATGACCCTTTCTCCCCCCCTCCTGCGTTTTTTCTCCGCCCCAATGCAACAGCAGCCGCAGCACCCATTGCCCCATGACTGGCATCACCTCTTTGCTTAGCCTCCCCGTGATTTCGATCCATACCCAAGCCTTGCTTAGCTGCATTTCTGTCAGATGCAACACCTCTATTCAGCATTTTCTCCCCCTTGGATGGCTTTTGAGTCGTCTCAGCTGCAGCACCATCCACTCGGCCTCGTTTCGTTTCAACGCGCATCAAAGCACGGTCCACACCCTGTTTTTGACTCGACTCAAAAGCACGATCCACTCCATACTCTTCTTCTTCTTTTCCCCCTTGTCTCAGCTTCGGTTCGTCCTGCTGACACCCCAAACGCAGCTTAGGTTCGGGAAGATGAGCAGGAGAGCTCACAGCCTGCCGAGCCACCTGCCGAACCTCCGGCGGAGCTGCATGCGTAGGCTCGGAATCCAGCCCTTCTGCTGCCAAAGCTGCAGCTTCGGTTTGGAGGGCGGAACGGAAGGAGAGGCTGTGAGCCGTATTGGCCCATGAGACCAGGCGGATCGAGGGGGTGAAGGAGGGTGAGGAGTGCCGGAGAATGGATGTCGAACGTGGGAGGTGCGAGGGAGGGAGAGGGTGAGAGCGGTGTGCTTGTGGGAGGTGCGATATCGAGAGAGGGGGCTGCTGTGAGCGAGCGGAAGGAGGGCGGTTGAGAGACAACAACACTTCCCTCCACTGACCGCTGCTGAGAGCCTGTGAGGAGAGGGGGGAAGGAGAAGATGCACTGAGAGAGCTACAGAGAGAGGTGAGAGAACTACGGAGAGGTGAAGAGAGTGGCTGACAGGCAACGACACCTCCCTCCACTGGCTGCTGGCCACTGCTTAGTGCCTGTGAGGAGAGGGGGAAGGAAAAGAGGCACTGAGAGAGCTATAGAGAGAGGTGAGGAGAGATGGTCCTGTGGCTGAGAGGCAACGACACCTCCCCTCCACTGGCCGCTGCCTAGTGCCTGTGAGGTGAGGAGGCAGGGATGGGGGATTTACGGTGAAGGCAGGAAAGGAGGCAAGGAAAGACGTAAGGATATATTTCGAGGCGCCTTGATAACAGACACTCCCCTTTGCGGAGGCCAGTGCTTAGTGCCTGTAAAAGGGAGGCAAGGAAAAGTGGCACCGAAAGAAGTGAGGAGAGAGGTAGGTGCCTTGGCACTCCTGTGGTTGAGAGAATTAGGGAACTAGAGATTAACACTTCCCTTCCCTCCACTTTTGAGTCGACTCAAAAGTCACCTCATTAGGGAACTAGAGATTAACACTTCCCTTCCCTCCACTTTTGAGTCGACTCAAAAGTCACCTCATTAGGGAACTAGAGATTAACACTTCCCTTCCCTCCACTTTTGAGTCGACTGAAAAGTCACCTCATTAGGGAACTAGAGATTAACACTTCCCTCCACTGGTCTCTGCTTCCTGCCGCTGAGGAGGGGAATCAGGGAGGAGGTAGGAAACCAGGCAAGGAGAGACAAAAGACCTGCTAATCCTCCTCACTCACCCTCAGCATGAACCGCCCCAGTAGCAGCTCCTCCTCCTCCTGCCCTTCGTTACTCGAGAATCGTTGGTTTTGTGAGAATCCTCAAAAGACAACTAGTGAATCCTAAAAAATCATCTACCGAGCGAGAGAAGGCTGGGATGGGAGTGGACTCACTCACCCTCAGCATAAATCGACCCAATAGTAGCTCCTCCTTCTCCTGCCCTTCGCTCTCCTCCATCCACTCCTCTCCATCCTCCTCTGATACCCCTCGTGCCATCCCCTCCATACTCCCGCCCTCCCTCTCCACATCCTCCTCGTCTCCATCACTCCCATCCTCCTCCTCTCCACTCTCCTCCCCTTCTTCCTCTTCTTCCTCCTCCTCCTCCTCCTCCTCCTCCTCCTCCTCCTCCTCCTCCTCCTCCCTCTCCTCCTCCTCCTCCTCCTCCTCCTCCTCCTCCTCCTCCTCCTCCTCCTCCTCGCTTTCCTCATCATCATCCTCATCCTCCTCCTCCTCCTCCCCCTCTCCCTCCTCCTCCTCGTCATTCTTCCCCTCCTCTTCTTCCTCCCCCTTAATCCTCAGCACCACGCCACCACCAAGACTCCTGGTACCCACTAGCGCTACCTTCCGACATGTCTCAAAAGCCACCCTTGTTTTGGCACTGCTACTGAACAGCGTTTGGAGGGCTGACAGGGGCTGGCGTGTCACAACATCCATCCCCTTGTCTTTCCTTTTCCCATCTGCACTCCTCTCGCTCACACCCGTTTCGCCTGCAATTCCTCCACCCGCGCCCCTGTCACCATCCCTTCCTTCATCCCCACTCAATCCATCCCCACTACCAGCCTCCCTTCCTGCATCTCCAGTCATCCCTCGACTGACCCCATCCCCATCCCTCACATCAATGCCATCATGCCAATCCCTAATAATCTGCCCATTTCTGCAACCGTGAGACGAGCCCTTTTGGTTCCCACCGTGAGTGGTTTGCCGGATCAATTCGGTGGTTAAGTCCACATCCATGCCTCGACTTGCCGACTCCCCAACCTTATTGTGGTATGACGATGGGGAGAGGCTGTGTCTTGAAGGGGATGGCCCCATGTTTATCGCACCTGCGCTGGAGCCCTGGAGGCTTTAAGTGCTGTCGGTGACGTCACTCCTGCGTCATCAAGTGCTGTAGGTGATGTGACCCCTGCGCCATCACCACCAATGTCGTCACTGGCAGTGCTGTTGGCATTTAAGTCCTCAGGAGTCACATCACTGCCAGATGCATCAGCAGCAGGAGAAGCAGCAGCAGCAGCAGCTGCGGCAGCAGAGGCAGCAGTGGCATCACCAGCGGCAGCAGCAGCAGCAGCAGCAGCAGCAGCATTCGCACTAGCAGGAGCAGGAGCATCAGGAGTCACCTCTCTGTTAGCAGCATCAGTAGAAGCAGCAGGATAAGCAGCAGCAGCAGCAGCAGCTGTGGCAGCAGAGGCAGCAGCGGCAGCAGCGGCATCACCAGCGGCAGCAGCAGCACCATTTACACTAGCAGAAGCAGGAGCATCAGGAGTCACACCTCCGTTAGCAGCATCAGCAGCAGCAGCATCACAATCACGCTGACTACCCCCAAGTGACCAGGGATCCTGTCCGCCTTACTTTTCCTCCTCTTTTACCTCGGCCTTTTTCACCTCCTTCTCCTCACCATGTCCATTTCGCCCTTCCAATCCTCCTCCCATCTCAAAGCCACATCTCTTCCCCTTCACCACTCCTCCCCCTATAGCAGAAATCCCTTTCACCCCTGCTCCCTGCACCAGTCTCTTTGAGAGTCACTGTCACTCTCACCCTCCTTCTGCCTCTCCCTTTCCCTCTCCCTTCTTCTCTCCCTTCCCCTCTCCCTTTCCCTCTCTCTTTCCCTCTTCCTTCCCCTCTCCCTCTCCCTCTCCTCTCTTTCCTGCTGCTCCCCTTCCTCCACGTCTCCCCTTTCTCCTTCCGCTCTCTCCTTCGTCCCATCATCAACACCACCACCAACGCCAATAGCAGCACAACCACCATCCCCAGCACCGTCACCATTGCTGTCAGTACCAGCCCCCTTTGCCCGCTTTCCCATCATCCACCCCTCCGCCTTTCCCTCCTGTAAAGTATCACCTGAATCCTTATCACTTTCCCCACCTAAATCCTTCACTCGTTCCCACCCAACGCCCCAACCATCTCACCTCCTCCACTCTTCCCTCTCACTCTACCTCCCTCAACCTTATCATCCCCGTCGCTCTCACCACTGCTCTCAGCAACACTCTCAGCAACACTCTCAGCACCATTTCTGTCTGCTCTCCCGTCCCCTGCCCTCCACTCCACAATCCCCTTCTGTTCCTCCTCCACACCTCCCTTCCTTCCTCCTCCTCCTGCTTCTCTTCCTGCTCCTTCCCCTGCTTCCTCTCTTCTTCCCCGATCCCCTTTCCATTCTCCTCCTCCTCCTCCAGCCTCCTTCCCCCCCCCACCCCCTGTTCCCCCTCCTCCCGCCTTCCCGCCTCCCATCAGCAACTGCAGCCCTGTCAGTATTCCCCCCGTCCTCACTGCTGCTGCATGCACACTCGCTCCCCCTGTTCCTGCCTTAGCTTCATCCATCTTTCCACCACTCCCACTCCCATTCCCAGTCCCAATCTCCTCACACACACCCCATGTTTCTGTCGCCCCTCCATCTTCCCCACCAGATTCACAGCGAGAAGACTTAAAACCCCTCACATCACGCTCCTGCTCCTCCTCTGCTTCCTCCTTTCTCTTTCCCCCTCTTTCTCCCTTCCCTCTATCTCCTTCCCCTGCTTTCTCTCTCATTTTTCCCTCATGCCTCTCCTCCCTCCTGTCACTCTGCCCTCTGCTATCCTGAACCCTCCATAACTCCGCATCTCTGTCCCTCTCTTGAACCCCCTTCACCATCTCGCTTCCTCCCTCCTTTTCTGCCTCCACACTCCCTCCCTTCTCTCTTTCCTCTGACCTCACTCGCTCTTCGTCCCTCCTCTCCTCCCCTCCTTTTCCATGCCCTTCCTCGCCTGCTCTTAGCTGGAAACCTGGTGGTACTGAGTTTCGAGCTGTCTCAAACCCAGGAGGTCCGGCTGTTTCAAGACCAACTTCATACCCCTCTTGATGCTGCTGCTGCTGCTGGATCTTCTGCTGCTTCATATGCTGTTGCTCCCGCTGCTCACGTTGACCCTCTACCTCTTGCTCGTCCTCATGCTTCTTGTACCTTCGACCCTCTGAGGCAGCCAGCCAAGCAGTGGTGGCTTCTGCTAAAGCTGCAACCCTCCTCCCCCACTCAGACCCCCGGGAAGAGGACTGCAGCAGATTCAACGCGGAGGAGAGCGGTGGAGGGGAGTGAGGAAGGATGGGAGGGGGTGAGTAAAGGTGGTGAGGAGGGGGGTGAGGGAGAGTAGGAGGAGGGGAGTGAGGAAGAGGAGGGGGACGCGGCATGGGCAGGGTTGAAGGGAGAGGATGGAGCGGAAGGGGGAAAGAAGGCTGGGAAAAAGGAGGGACCAGTAGTGATGGTGGTAGGTGAGGGGGGGATGGTGACGGTGGGGGTGTTGGCAGTTTCTTTGCTCGAATAGGCGGCAGGGAGTCAAAATCCACTTTTTCAAATAGCAGCTTCGAATCTTTGGGCCCATCATGCCGCTTCATCCTCTCATGACCTTTCACACCCTCATGCCCCTCCACCCCTTCCTCCTGTCCCTGTGTTTCCGCACTTGCTGCTTCAGCCCTCGCCCCTTTTCCCATGCTTCTGCTGTGCTGGTTCGGTGGCTTTCGATCCTGCTCTGCCTCTCCTGCTGCCCCCCACTCTCTTTCAACTCTCGTCCTCCACTCTCCCACATGAGTGGAGACAGGAGGGTCACAAAGAGGTGGCGAAGAGACAGCAGCAACAACAGCAGTAGCAGCAGATGCAGGGGGAAAGGCAGCAGGATTGATATCCCCGCCAGCAGAGACACCAACATCAACAGCAGCGGAATCAGCAGCACTGGCGGCAGCAACTGCAGAAGCAGTGGCAGCACCAGCAGGGGAAGTAGGTGAAGCAGGAGTGGCTTGAGCTGGTGAGAGCACAGAGGCACGGTTAGAGAGAGAAGAGGTGAGGTGGGGCGACTTTTGGGTCGATTCAGAGAGCACAGAGGCACGGTTAGAGAGAGCAGAGGTGAGGTGGGGACCAACAGCCGCGTTGAGGAAGGAGGGGCAGTGCAGGGATTGCAGCACAAGGGCATGCAGACGTGTGCGGACGAGAGAGAGTGAGGTGGAAAAGAGGACGTCGAGCGAGGGAGGGGTGGATGACGGGAGCTGCTGCTGCTGCTGGTACTGCTGTTGTTGCTACATAGCGTATACATTGTGTATATGAATCACCCTGTTTATATAGCCATCCTAAGTGTGTGTTGGGTGTAGCTAGAGTGCGCACATTGTAATGACTTTCCTGTACCCATTGTCGGAATGAAGTACGGACAGAGTGGCTACTTCGCCCCTGGTGTCGAAGTAGGTGGTATGTAGGAGAACATGCACACACATTGTGTGAGTACACTTTGCAGGTACAGTGAAGGTTGGTAGTCAATGTTCTGTAGGGAGAATATGCCACAGGTAACCAACTTGGGACTCGATAACGTGAATGGTAAAAAAAAAACGCGTACGGTCACTGTATCGGGTTTCCTGACGGGTTCGGTAAGCGGGGTCACGGATTCAGTCACTAACAACAGGTAAGAAATCACGCGAATGGTCACACATGAAACTCCCGCCAAAAAAACTTGAAACTCAACAAAATTCCCGCTCGCGCCCAACCAATCTGCGAACTTGTAAAAAAACTAAAACCCAATCGGAATCGGATGCGGTTTGTAAACGGATCAACCCTAAACACTTGGCGAGTTACGTGTTTAGGGTTGACCTTCCGAAAACGCATCCAGGTTCTTTTTGGGTTTCATTTTGTTTTGGCGGGAGTTTCATCCGTGACCATTCGCGTTTTTTTTTACCAGTTGATTGTGACTGATTCCGTGAAACGCTTTATCAGTCGCATGAAAACACCCTTTGCAGTGACCGTACCCTTCATTTTTTTACCAAAAATGTTTTCGAGTCCCATGATGGTTACGAATGGCATATTTTCCCTGTTCTGTAGGTACATTGTCCAGGCGAGGACATTGTTTGGGATGGAAGGGTTAAAGCCCGGGCTCGGCGACGCTGTAATCGGCTGCGGGTCAACGATCACAAAAACTAGGTTCGTTAATCGAGAAAATTTGGAGCTTGAAAATAGCGATGGCTGGGTTGTGAAGGAAACGGCGGCAAACATGCCAATGGTAGGATGGGCGCGAGGCCAAGAGGTTATTGCCTCGTCTTTAACGCGACCCGAGATTATTAAGCACGGACATCGCGTCGTGGCTTATTACCCTGTTGTCGCAGGAAAGCCCGCTGTGAACAGGGGTGGCGAATCGCAAAGAAGCAATGATCGCGCTGTCGAAGAAGAGGTGGAAGCGGTTGACGTGGTGCTTGAGGTCGTGGGTTCGAATTCCGAAATTGACAGCAACGATTCCACCTTCACTGTTTCAGAAGGAGCCGGAACTGCAGAGGACGCAGGAGCGGTGCAGCAGCAGCATCAGCTGGTGGTGGTTCGTGCGAAGATTCTGGTCGCAGCGGATGTCGTGCGATCAGCTGTGCGAAATCAAATGATCGGCGACTCGCCTCGATACCTGGAGCAGTTTGGTTGGAACGCGCTTGTGCCAAATCCGTCAAGTGCGAGAGTGTGTGAAAAGGAAGAACGAGAAAAATGTTTGAACTATGAATGAAGTGAGTACATTTGGGAAACCCTAATTGGGTTGTACCCCTTATGGGATACCCCACTATAGCCTACACAACAGCATAAGCTATATAATGTTCTGACACACCCCCATAGGCAAAGTGGGGGAGAACAAGGGGTCACAAGACCAGTCAAGCAAAGCAGAGCAAGCTCAGGGTGGATCACAAAGTCACCACACAGTCCGAGCACAACGACAAGGCCACAAGGCCAGTTCACATGCAGGAGTACACATATATATATAGAGCTAGACAAGCAAGAGCAGGTATATATATGTAACAGTACAAGCAAGGTCAAGAAGAGAGCAAGTGAGGCAAGACAGGTACAAGACCCAGCTGGGTGCAGAAGCGCTGATGGTCACAAGGCGCAAGTGCCTTGGTGAACACATCAGCAGTGTTGGCCGCAGAGGCCACGTAAGCAAGTCGCAACTGACCACGCTGCTGCAGCTCACGAGCAAGAAAGTAACGGAGAGCAATGTGCTTCGTTCTGTGCTCCAAGCGCTGCTCTCGACACAAGGCCAGCATGGCCTTGTTGTCTACGTACAGCACTGGAGGAGAACGAGGCGGCTCTCCAAGGTCAGTCAGCAGGTAGGTGAGCCAGCGAAGCTCCTGTGCAGCCATGGCCCCGGCGTAGATCTCAGCCTCACAACTGGAGCCGAGAACAGAGGACGAGCGAGTAGCCCGCCACGAGACAGAGCCGGAACCAAGACTGAAGGTGTAACCCTGCGACGACCGCTGCGTAGCCTGGTCGTCAGCCCAAGAAGCGTCCGCGTGCCCAGTGAGGACCACTGGACTCCGCCCTCCAAGCACTAGCCCCATGCCCGACGTACTGCACAAGTAGCGCAACACCCTCTTCGCTGCAGCCATGTGCTCTGGTCGGTGTCTCCCAGGAGCAACATAGCGTGCAAGAATGCTAAGAGGGTATGCAAGGTCAGGTCGTGTGCAGGTCATCAGGTACATGAGGCAGCCAACAAGCTCTGGGTACGGGCCACTCGACTCTACGGACTCATCCGAAGGCAGAGCTGAGAGCGAGTGGCGAGTAGACAGAGGAGTGGCCTGAGGCGAGGAGTACGTGAAGCCGAAGCGCTGAAGGACCTGCTGCACCATGTGTGACTGAGTCAAGGTAATGGTGCGGCGTGCTCTGTCCCGAGTGATCTGCAAGCCAAGGTAGCTGCGCAGTTCACCCAGGTCTGTGCACGTGTGTCTCTTCTGCAGCTCGGACTTCACGTAGGCTAGTCCAGCCGTGTCAGCTGTGGCAAAGACCAAGTCGTCGACGTACACGAGGACGTAGAACGGCGGCAGAGAAGTGTCGGTGCGCAGAAACAACGACGGGTCTGCAGTAGAGGGAGCAAACCCAAGAGCCGCAAGCGTAGTCCTCAGTGTGTCGTGCCACTCACGCGGTGCCTGGCGGAGACCGTAGACTGGCCGTCGGAGGCTCCACTGGGTGCCAGGAGGGAAAGTCCCAGTGAAGCCAGGTGGACGGCGCAGCCAGATCTCCTCGTGCAGGCTACCCTGCAAGAAAGCAGTACTGAAGTCAAGAGAGTGGAGCTCGTAGTCGCGCTGAGCGGCTATGTGCAGCAGCACCCGAAGAGTGGTCATCTTCGGGGTGGGAGAGAAGGTCTGAAAGTAGTCAACTCCCTGCCGCTGACTGAAGCCACGAGCGACGTACCGCGCCTTGAAGACAGGTGGAGAGCCCGGCGGCCGCTTCACCCTGAAGATCCACATGCCACTGACGATGTTCGCCCCAGGAGGGGGAACCGCGTCAACGTAGGTGCCTGTGGACTTCCAGGACGCCATCTCTGCATCCATAGCTGCCTGCCACTGAGAGGAGTAGGGACCCTCTACGGCCTCCGCGTAAGAGCGCGGAGTCGGGATGTCTAGTGCATCCGGGTCTCCCTCAGGGGCAAGTAGTACGGACGCGAGATGAGGTGAAGCAGCAGCCAGACACCGGAACTCCTCCTGCCTGTCCTCAAGGACGTCCGTGCCAAGAGCACACTCACCCCCGACGGACGGAGGACAGACAGACGCAGACTCAGCAACAAGACCGGCAGCGTAGTCTAGACGACAGCGAGCAGCAAAGTCGACAAGCTCAGCAACAAGCGCAGACGCAGCAGTGGACTCAAAAGAGGGGTCAGTGACAACAGTAGCAAGGAGACGTGTGACAGCAGGACTGGCAGCACGAAGAGAGTCCGACTCCGGGTCAGGAAGAGCAGGAAGAGAGGACTCAGGAGGAGAAGGCAAAGGGGCACGCAGAGGAGCAGTGGACGGACGCAGAGACATCCGGTGCGTGCCAGGGACAGGAGGAGGACGCTGACGCGAACCACGACCACTAGTGCGAGCAGCACGGACAGGCGACACAGGGCGAGACGCAGGCTCACGACGCTCAGCAAGACCTCCAGTAGGACCAGTGTAGGGAGAAGGAGCGGGCAGTGGGGAGGCCGGCTGTAACTGTAACTGTGACAGGACAGGCTGTGGACACTCTAAGGGAGGAGGAGGACCAGTAGAAGGCGGGAGACCAAGAACCTGCTGAAGGAGCGGAACGAAGTACGGCCTAGGCCGCGCGGCGACTCCAGACACAGCAGGGACAGCACCAGTACCCCCAGCGGCAGCACCAGCGCCAGTAGCACCTCCAGCTCCATGACCTCCAGCAGCACCAGTAGCACCCCCAGCAGGACCGTCAGCAGTAGCCTCAGCTCCAACACCCTCAGCAGCTCCAGCTCCAGCACCTCCGGGACACGCGGCACCAGCACCCTCAGCAGCCGAAGAACCTCCAGCCCCAGCAGCACGCCTCCAGCGCCTGGCAAACCACTCGCGCAGCTCCTGTGGAGAGAGGGGCTCCCGCCGAGGCGAAGCACCCGGAGAAACGCCAGGTCCCGCACCGCCAGACGGCACAAGGGGAGGTCCAGTGGCCGCAGGCTCAGCAGCTCCAGACGCAGCACCCCCTGGCTCAGCACCCCCAGACTCCGCACCCCCAGGCTCAGCACCCCCAGACTCCGCACCCCCAGGCTCAGCACCCCCAGACTCCGCACCCCCAGGCTCAGCACCCCCAGTCGCA